CCTCTACCACTTATTTGCTGTTTGGGGAGGACGAAAGTGGTTAACATACATAAAAGTGCCTACACCAGTGCTCTGTGCCTATTACTAACATCTTTCTCATGGATGTGACTACTCAGCTTTCTGAGGTTGTCCCCCCCCCATGTTACTGGCTGGTGATCCCCATCTCATGGAATGATATGAAGTTAAATAAAGTGCAAATGTACAGCGTCAGGAACACGATAGAAGCTCAAGTCAAACAGAGCTCCCTCCCTTTCCCTCTTCTTACTCCAAGAGGGCCCAGACTAGGGATCGGATCAGTCCTGACCCCCACCCACCAGGGCTCGCTGCCTGATCCTGGTCTGATCTCTGGCCCTTGGCCTCAGTCTCCCCATCTGTGAAAAAAGCTTTTGGGCCAAGTGGTATCTGAGTGTCCGTGACCATATCTATTCCAGTCTCCCTCCCACCTCCATTCCCTCCTTCCTTCTCCATTTCCAACTCATGTCCTACTGCATCCCTCCTGCTGTAACAGAACCCATGGGAGCCTAAAGTTGGGTGGAGGGGACAGCTGGTGAGCAAGGGGTATGAGGCCTCAAGCAACCCAAGGCCCACCCCAGGCTCCCAAGGGTTAAGATCCAGAGCGAAGGGCGGGGGGTGGGGGTGTTCAGCAGGGTCAGCGCTGGACAGGCGGGCCTAGAGCCCAGGGCCTGCCTCCCCTTCCCCCACCCTGGGAACAGAGGCTACTTGTTTGGGCATCAGCCGGCTGGCTTTGAGCTTGGCTAAAGGAAGAGTGGGGTGGGGAGGGGAGAGGGCCCAGAGAATAGAGGGAACTCCCCTCTCTTTAGCCGATGCCCTAGTCTTAGTCCTAGGCTAGTCCACCACTCACCCCTAGGACCCTCAGAGGCCCCTTACCCCTCTGAACTGACCCCTTCCCTCCAGGTTCTCTCGTTCCTTCATTCAAACACTCATTGCAGGGGATAAGATTTACACTCAGGCCCAATTCTTGCCCCAGTGGTCTCTTTCTCGAGCATGAGACCAGGGGTTATCAGCCCATCCTACAGATGGGGAAATGGAGGCTCTGGGAAGTGTGGGGACTTGCAGAGTCACATGTTCGATGGCTGCACAGGGACTACCCCACGTCCCAGTCATCCCCAGGGCTCTGCAGGCCCTTCCCCACAGAGCTCCAAGGAGACCTTTCCCAAGCTGTGCCACTAAGGACTGAAAGGTGAGGCACGGAGAAGCAATAAGCAACCCACCTGTGAGGTCCCAAAGGACCTAAGATAGATAGATAGATAGATAGATAGATAGATATAGATATAGATATAGATATAGATTTTTTTTTTTTTTTTGGATGGGGAGAAAATTTCTGGAGAGGAAGGGTGGGTAAGACAAGCAAGCTGCACAAAGGGCTGAGGTTTCAGGTACAGAAAAGCCTGACTGGAGCCTGAGAGGCGGTGGGGGTGAGGCTGGGGCGATGAAGCGTGGGGGCAATCTGGCCCCAGGTTGCCTCTGCCACCTCACCAGTTGTCAGGACTGTGCCTGGAATGACCCCCTTTTGCCCGACTCCTGTGAGCAAGTGGTGAACGAGGAGGCAAGGTCCCCCAAGCCAGGATCTGGACAATCCCCACCCAGCCATGGGACACATGGGGACGAGTTCTCGCTATACCCTGCCCCAGCTATCCCTTCCAGCCATACCCATCTCCTCAAATATACCACGAAAATTCCTGCCTTTGCACAAGCTGTGCTGTCCTCTGGAGGGTCCTTATCCTTGCTAATTGCCACTTCACTGCCAAGGCGCATTCCAGTCATCTCCTTCTCCCTGGACCTCCAAGAGTCCCAGTCCCTGATTCTATCTCAGTACCTGTCTGCACTTGTCTTCCAGATTCTGCTGGGATCTTTCTACCCTGTAATGAGCTTGCTGGGAGGTCTCCCCTAACCTGGGCACGCTCTGCTTTCCAAGGACAGACATCCTGGGTGCCTCAGTCTGGACCTTGGTGCTCAGCACACAGTCAAATCCTACCTGAATACCTCCACAAATCTGTACCACTCTGCAGCAACCCCCGCCGCCAGCCCCTTCCCTGCAACCAAGCCTGGGGATCAAGGAAAGCTCCCCAGCACAAGAGCTTTGGGGGAGGGAGATGCATATGCCAGAAACCATACTGTGATCGTTCCTGATCAGAGTTCCCCAACACCAAAAACCAGCCTTAGAGATCTTGGACCAAACGCCCACCCCATGCCCCCTAGGCTGCACTCCAAGCCTGCTCTCTCCAGTGCCAACAACCCACTCCCGGCTTGACCCCATTCAGCGAACACACACCACCTCCTCTTTCCAGCAATTGGGCCAGGTAGGGCCTCTTGGGAGGCCATGCCCCCATTTACTGGTGGGGAATTGAGGCACAGAGACCGGAAGTAGTCTGCCCAAGGTCACTGGAGCCCCAGGTTCAGGGCAAAGGGTCATACGAAAGTGCAGAGCTGTAAGGGTCTCCGCGGTTAACGAGGTGGGAGCCTTCATTTCACAGATGAGAAAAGCAAGGCGGCCGAGGGCGGGCTGGCTCCGGCTCCTGGGAACCTTCATGCTAAAGGACTAAGAGCTGGAAGCCCCCTGACCCGCCGGTTCGCCCTCCTGCCTACCGACTCTGGCCCGACCGCACATCCTCAGGTGATGACCCTCATCCGCAACACCAGACAAGAGAGCAGACAACTACCCTAGGAGAAACGCCCGCGGAAGTAGGCGCCGGGCGCACAGCCGGCGCGCGGCCTTGGCGTTCCCTTCTGCGAAATGGGGAAACTCTGGTCAACACCTGGCGAAGGGGCGGCGGGCGGGGAGGTCCCGGCAGCCTCACTTACCTGTTCTGAGCGAGGACTCCACGCGGGCACGCGGGGACGCGGGGACCCGGGGACCCGGGGACCCGGGGTCCCGGCGCCGTCACTGACTCACGCCGGCGTAGAGAACTCGCGGCCGTAGGCCGGGCGCGCCCACCCGCCGGGTGCTTCCGCCCGCCCCACGTGACGCCCCGGGGAGGGGAGGGCCGGAGGGGCAGGGACCCGCCCCCTGCTCCGCCCCGCCTAGTCGCCGTCTCTGAGTCCGCGGGCCTGGCCCGCCTAGCGGACCGGTCCGTCTGTGCGTCTCCCGTGCCTCTCTCGTTGCTGGCAGGTCCGTCTCTATCTCGTGAGGTTCAGATCTACCTCCACCTCTCCGCCCGCTGAGTCTCCATCTCTTCCTGAATCTCCCAGCCTCTTGCCACCCTTCTCCTGGTGACTCTACCCCCCGGAGGCGCGGCGGGAAATGAGCCACACAACACTCCCAAACCCCCTCCCGCCCCAGGGGCCCAGACCCCCAGGGTGGAAAGAGGCAGTGGAGGCAGGACGACCTAGGTCCCTAACCTTCTCCTCCTGGAAGTCCTTCCCCACCTCATTCTCCGAGGATATCCCACTTCCCTCTCCGGGCCCACATCCCCCAGGGGCAGGGTGGTGGGGAAGAGTCCTACCCAAAGGGCTCCAAGATCCCTTGACAGAAGGCTGCATACAGCCTGAGGTCCTGGCACCAAGACACCTTCACTGGCTGAGACTGGGGAGATGTCTGCCCATCCTGCCAGCACATACACAGATAAGGGCCCTGGGTTTGGCAGGAATTCCTGGGTCCTGTGTCCCTGTCACCTCTGGGACCAGCCCAGTCAAGAGACTCTAATTTCTCTGTGCTTCCATTTCTCCAAATGCCCGATGGAGATATTTGAAAGAACAGCTCTCACCAGGATGGGGCATGGGGGTTGACTCTGAGATTAGGAGTCATTAAGCTGAGCACCTACTACATGCCAGGCCCAGTGCTGGGCAACTTATTCCTTTTATCTGAATCCTCATACCTCTCCTTGAAGGCAAAAATCATCACCCCAGGTTAGGGATTAGAATATGAAGCTCCAAGAAGTTCCAGGACTTGTCCAAAGTTACAAAGCCAGTATTGGGCAAGCCTGGGATTGGAACCCAAGTTTTGGTGAGTTATAGAATCTCCTGCCTACACTCCACTGGACATCCACTTTGCCCCTCTAGAAAAGAGTCAACTCCAAGTAGGCTATATCTTCCTGATAAGGCTAAGGCAAGTCACTTTCCAGGAGGGGAGGACAGGGCCAAACCTTGGAGAGCACTTCCCAGCCCCAAATTCATATGGGGTGCAAAAACACTAGAGAGGGGCAGAGCACAGAGCCCTCCTCCTCCCAGTCTGATAGCAGGGGTGTCCCTCAGGCAGCAGAGGGTACCGGGAGGTCACCGAGAACAAGGGAGATTCAGGCACCCCTCTAGATCTCAAAGCCTAGACTTCAAAACAGCCAGGTGGAACACAGTACCAGGGGACTGGCATCTGATCACTTGCAAAGGACTGGGAGCCCAACCTTTTCTGTTAACACAGGCCTGAGGTCTTCAAAGTGACCTAGGGAAGTCTCGAATCACAGGACCTGGTCCCTCCACTGCACTGGAGTCTGATGACCTTCATTGCAACCCCCAACCTTCCTCCTCCAGAACATGCTGTCCCCAGTCTTCATTCTGAGGCCCACAGCCATGTGGTCTGAGACCCAGGAACCTCGCCCCCTTCCTTCCATGATGACTGGAGACAGTCAGACCCTCCACTTCTGCAGCTTGTACTCACATGGTAGAACCTCACCCTCTGACCCCTGACCCGAGGTCTCTGGCCAGACCTACTTCTTCTCTTAGAGCAGTGAAAGATGGCCAAAGAGCCTGGAGCAAACGGCAGAAGGAACAGGCAACAAGGACGGGTGAATGGATGAGGGAACTAATGAATAGACACAGGAGAAGAGAACACACTATGGGCAGGAGGCAGGGATGAGATAACCTGACATACCCCCCCCACCACCACCAGCTACACATGGGGAAATGAGGGGTTGCCTAAAGGGGCAAAGGCCAGGTGATCAATAATGAAATTAACAAAATGAACTCTAGGAGATGGGGATTAAGGGCAGCGGCGAGTGGCGGTCGTGCCCCAGGGAGGTGGGAAGCAGGCACAGCGACGAGCCGGCTGAGGCTGTGTGATCCTTTATTGGGGCTGCGTCCAGCCAGGCCGCCGCACCAGCCTGGGCCCGAGCCCAGCGTCCCTAAGAGGCACAGGGGGTGGGGGAGGGGAGAAAGCGCGGGAGGATCCGCCACCCCTGGCCCCACTCCATCTTGTCTTGGTCCCTGCGGTGGTGCCGCGCTCAGGTGAGCGAGGTGTCATCGTCGCTGCCCTCGCCGCCTGCGCCACCCAGGCGCTCCTCCCGGCTCTCTGTCACCGCGCTCTCATCGATGTTCTCCAGCGAGTCCGCGTGCTGCACGGAGAGCTCCGACAGCGCCAGGCTCGGCAAGGGGCTCTGCTCTGGGTGGAGCCACGGCTTGAAGTGCGGCTGATGCTTCTGCTTCCATTCAGGGTACTTGACGCACGCCTTGTACATCTTCTTCATGGCCTGCGGGGCCGCCGCACAGCCGAGTCAGGGGTGGACGCGGACGGGGACTGAGTCTTCGCCACGTCCCGGCCTGCGCCCTCCAGCGTCTCAGTCCCCGGCTCCCGGGATCCTGACTCTGGCCTATTTCATGACTCCGCCCCTCAGCCCTGACTCCGCCCCCTGACTCCCAGTCTCCATCCCTGACCCACCCCCTCATCCGAACCCTCTCCCCCAGCTTCCATACCCCAAAGTCCCAAGGCCACTCACCTTGGGAGCCAGGAACTGAGAAGATTTATTCACTACCCACTTGGGTAAGGAGCCTATGAGAGCAGGGAAGGGTAATGAGGAGAGAAGGAAAGCAGCCGCCTCAGGGACCCAGCCCCCACCAAACATACATACCAGCCCGCTCCTTCCAGCCTGGGGCTTCCAAAGAGACTACCCTCTTCCCCCCGGGAGGGGGGGGGAGGCTGTGAGGCAAGTCCTATAAGACTACATCATCCTCACTTTCTCTTTCCACCTCAGCCCAAGGTCTCCAGGCTCAATTCTGTTGTGTCCCCCCAAACCCACCCCCTACACCCCTCCTGTCCCTCTGCTGACCCCCAGAGGACTGCATGGAAGAAAACCACAGGGTCCTAGGTGACCACAGGCTACAAGTAGGTTGAAATCATGACCCACCCAGCTCCCGCCTGCCACCTCCCCTCCACTGACATCCCCCTTCTCATACCCAACCTGTGAATGGCCTTGATGCTCAGCCCCTCATCTACGCATCTTTCCACGCCCCCTGCCCCAGGGGGCTGCTACATAGGCCTCTTGGCTGAGTACCCCACCCTGGCCTGACCTGGAATCCACAGGCCACCTGCCCACCCTTTCTCATTCCCAAGTGTCTACTCTGCCTCCCAACAGTCAGTGAGGTCCTAGAGGGCCCTGGGCCTGGGTCACTGGACCCCCAGTGGGGCCGGGGCATACCCAGGCAAAGATGTTCAGGGCTTACCCACCCTCTAGACAGTCACCCATTCACTCACTCACTCCACATCCACTCTGTGATACCTACTCTGGGACAGTCCCAGGGACCCAAAGAGCAGCTCACTGTCTGGGGCCCAACTGGGGCCAAGGGCTCTGCTAGAGGGGAATGAGCCTGCCAAGCAGGGAGCTGGTGGTGACTCTAGGTATCGGTGACTTTGGTATTGGAGACAAAGGAGGTGACATCTGAAGCAGCCCTAGGGGCATGAGTGAGGAAGGAGAGGTGTTTCGAGGCTGAGGGAAAGTGCTGCCTAGACAGGGAGGTGGGACCATGTAAGGTATGAGGAGGCACTGGGAAAGCTGGGGAGGGGGCTTAGACTTTACTCTGAATGCAACAGCCAGAGAAGAATTTTAATCAGAAGAGAGTCATGAGGAAAGGCATGTTTTGGAAAAGTCCCTTGGTAGCTGTAAGGACAGACAAGGTGGCTGAGTATGGAGAGAAAGGACAGATTCAGGAGCTATTTAGGAGGTAGAATCAGTAAGAATGGGTGGCCAGATTTGGGAGCTGAGCAGAGGGCACCCCAGTCAACCCCCAGGTTCTTGGCATGGGTGACTGGGGGTTGGAGGCTTAGGAGAAGGCACAACCTAGAAGGGGAGATAGTTCAGCACTGGACACAGTGAGTCTCAGGTCCTGGAAAGACATCTTGAAGGACGAGTCCAGGAGGCCAATGGCCACAGGGATCTGGATCCCAGCAGAGATGCACGTCAGCTGGCCACAGAAGCCTTGAGAATAGCTGAGCCCTCCCAAGGAGGCTCAGGCCTCCAGGATGGGCAGAGGATAGGAGCCAGCAAGACAGATAGAGTGAGAGTAGCCAGTGAGCGGGAAACAAGTCAGAGCCTGGGGGTGCGGGAGTCCAGGAAAAGAGCTCCAAGCTTTATCATGGAGCAGCATCTACCACCTTGGCCTTTGCTTTTCAAACCATTATAAAGTCTCAAACCTTGGTTCAAATGATATTTTGGATGGAGATGCCCCAAAATACAAAACAGCTCCTAATAGAGGCCCTTTTTGATCCCTAATCAAAATTAGGGATCAAAAATCAGATCCCTGGCTTACTGATCTGGTCGCATCCCCTGTGGTATAGGAAAGGATCCCATGATGGGCTGCCAGGGCCAAGCCCTCACCTTTGGGGTCCACCTGGGCCAGGTAGGTGATGACGCAGCTCTTGGGCCCCGTGCTCTGGATGAGGTAGCCCGTCTGGATGGACACAGCTCGGACCAAGTCTTTCCGAGGCGGGTATTTCTGGGGATGGAAGGCAAAGGGAGGTGAGACTCAGGGTTGGGACAAAAGAAGTGTCTTTGTGAGTACACACACACACAGAATTAGTTAGTTCAAACCCCCTGACATCCACTCCAGGCCAGGCCTGATGCAGGGGTGAGGAGAAAGGGAGGACTCAGGCTAGGTCACCCCGTTCTCCTCAGGAAAGCCCCCAGTCTGGGGTCATGAGCACATACATGGGCACTCCCACACACACACACACACACTCATCTTTGCCCAGGCCAGCTGTACCTGCCTGTCCTGCCTGCCATGGAGAGCAAGGCGGCCCAGCCTCAGGGAGGGTCAGAGAAGCCTGCCTCTCACCCCTCGCACCCCCTTTCCCAGCCAGCCCATTGCACTTGTCCACAGTGATGGCCCTCATCACCCTCTTCCCATCTGCCTGAGAGCTCAGCAGGGAGACAAGAGCCATTATTCTCACTATACAGGAAGGAAACTGAGGGCCAGAGAGCGTCATGCCCAGGCTGAAGTCACATGAAAGTCATGATGGCAGCCAGAGGCCTCTTCCTGGGCCAGGCCTGCAGGCCCAGTCGTACCTGGCACTTTCCCCTGCCCACCCAGCAGGGGAGGCAGGGAGACTCACGGGATGTTTGACTGAGTAGTTCATAATGATGTAATCAGTGCCCATGGGGAGCCAGGAGCGGAGGGTGATGACATCACGGTTCTTCAGGGGCTTTGGACACCTCCCTGTGGAGTGCAAGGGACAGTTCAGCCAGGCCACTGGCCTGACTACCTGCAAGGGAGGGCACAGCTGAGGCCCAGGACACAGAGATGCCTGGTTAACTGCCAATTCTCCCTGATCCAAATGGGTACCCCTTCACCTCCCAGCCTACAGTCCCAGAGCTGAGACTAGGAAAGGGACAGAGCAGAACCCTCTCCCCTCTCGTCTTGGGCCATTCCTGCTCACCACCTCACACGGCCCTTCCCTTGCTGGCCTGGCTGTTTGTCTATGTGAACGTGAGTATGCGGGAGAACCATAATACTGTGAGTGTGTGTATCTGAAAATGTGTGACTGTGAGCATATGGCACATGGCCGTGGGCTGCGTACGTGACTGTGTACCCGGGTGTGGAGTGTGTATACATGAACACGGGAGTGTCTGTGTGTTTGTGAGTGTGCACGTGTGTGTGCCCAAGTGTCTGGGAATGGGCGAGGCTGTCACAGAGGGCGGCCCTGCATCTCAGCACTCAGGTGTCTGAGCAGCCTGGCCATGGGAGTGACCGCAAGGCGGGCAGGTGGCAGAAAGAGGCTGTGGGCTGGAGGCCTGGCTGGCACCATGTGCTTGAGCCTGCTCACAAGAGTAATAGCCCACGTCGGCGTTGACTGTCAAGCGGGCGATGTCGAAAGTCTCAATGACGTTGCTGTCCCACTTCTTTCGATATTCAATGTCATGTAGCACGTCATAGAGTGTCTCAGCTGGCACATCTCGGCACTCCATCCGGCACTGCAGACAGACACAGGGGTGGTCGGGGTCACACAAGGCTCCAAGCCCTGGCCAGGAGACCCCAGGGGGGACAGGCAAGAAGGGGAGGAGGAGGAGAACAGAGAAGAACAGCAACCTCTGAAGCCAGCATGGGCTTACCTCTTGCCACAAGCCCTGTCCAGCCCTCCCAGCAGCCACCTGTGCCAGAAGACAGACAGCTCTGTATCCAGAGACCATCTCCCCCTGCTCAGTCTCCCCCAGACCTCCCCTTCCGTCTCAGTCTCCCCCAAACATCCCCTTCCATCCCAGTCTCCTTCTCCAGGAAGCCTTCTTGAATGACCAGGCCAGACCTTCTGGACTCCCATACACTAAAATCTATCTGCACCTTCCCAGACCCCTGAACTTCATGGATGGAGGTACACAGAACCTGGAATGGGTACATGTTAAAAGAATTGAAAGCATAGGGACGCCTGGGTGGCTCAGTCGGTTAAGCATCTGCCTTCGGCTCAGGTCATGATCCTAGGGTCCTGGGATCGAGCCCCACATCAGGCTCTCTACTCAGTGGGGAGCCTGCTTCTCCCTCTCCCTCTACTGCTCCCCCTGCTTGTGCTCTCTCTGTCTCTCTCTCTGTCAAATAAATAAATAAAATCTTAAAAAAAAAAAGAATTGAAAGCATAAATAAACAAATGCCTAAATGGATGATTTTTCTCATCCATGATACTCATCACCTACCGTATCATCTGTGCTCTTTTTTTTAATCCAACAAACATCTTTGGATTTTTTTAAAAGATTTTATTTATTTATTTGACAGAGAAAGAGAGCACACAAGCAGGGGGAGTGGCAGGCAGAGGGAGAAGCAGGCTCCCCGCTGAGCAGAGAGCCCAACGTGGGACTCAATCCCAGGACCCTGAGATCATGACCTGAGCCGAAGGCAGATGCTTAACCGACTGAGCCACCCAGGCGTCTCTGGATTTTTTTTTTAAGATTTTATTTATTTATTTGAGAGACAGAGAGCGAGTACGGGGTGGCAGGGAGGAGAAGAAGGGGAGGGAGAGGGACAGACTTTGCACTGAGCACAGAGCCAGACACGGGGTGCAGCTCGATCCCAGGACCCTGAGATCCCGACCTGAGCTGAAACCAAGAGTCGGATGCTTAACTGACTGAGCCACCCAGGTGCCCCAAACATCTTTGGATTTCTTACAATTTTTAGCCTTGTCCTTGAAGAGCTTTCCATCTACGGGAGAAAAGAGCCAAGGATACTTTTTTTATTTAGCCCTCAAAACAACTCTGTCAGACAAGAAATCCAAGGAGGAACGTGAGGCCGAGAGAGGTTAAGTAACTTGCCCGAGGTTGCCCAACTGGTAAGCAGCAGAGCTGGGATTTAACCCAGATCATATGTCTGTAAAAACAGAACTATGTTTTGTTAAGTTTGCACTCAGCAAGATGAAACTTAATTCATGTCCTTGTTCTGTGCTTTTTTTTTCACCCCAAAGCCCAAAACCCCAGGACCAAGTTCCCCTCAGCAACTGGACGAGTTTGCTTGTATAGTTTAAAAAGGTCTCCCAGAACTGGGCATTCAGATGGTGCCAAGGGAGCCACCCATGTTTCTAAAAAAGGAGATCTATGCAACCATATGAGGGAGAGTCACATTGCCTTTCCTCTAATCTTGTGTTAGGCCTTGGCACCACTAATGGTGAGGAAAGGCCACAGGAAGGGCACATCACTACCTATTGGGTATTCTAGGCACCAGTGAACTCATCAAGCCCTGGATATACTTCACTTTACAGAAAATACAGAGGACAGAGAACAAGCTAAATTTCACAAGAATACAACCAAAGGCAGATGGTGAGGCATTCTCCATGGCTACTGGTCCAGTCTCTTCTACAGATCAATGTCCTAAGGGAGGGCCTGGGCTAGACTGGCAGGACACAAGAACCAGATAGAAGGTGTGGTCCTGGATTGAACACCGGCATGGACAAAACAGCTATAAAGGCTATCTTTGATACAAAAGTAGGGATCCGAAGGGGTACGTGCACCCCGATGTTTATAGCAGCAATGTCCACAATAGCCAAACTGTGGAAAGAGCCAAGATGTCCATCGACAGATGACTGGATAAAGAAGATGTGGTATATATATACAATGGAATATTATGCAGCCATCAAAAGGAATGAGATCTTGCCATTTGCAACGACGTGGATGGAACTGGAGGGTATTATGTTGAGTGAAATAAGTCAAACAGAGAAAGACATGTATCATATGATCTCATTGATATGAGGAATTCTTAATTGCAGGAAACAAACTGAGTGTTGTTGGAGTGGGGGGTGGGGTCGAGGGATGGGGTGACTGGGTGATAGACACTGGGGAGGGTACGTGCTCTGTTAAGCGCTGTGAATTGTGCAGGACTGTTGAGTCTCAGAGCTGTACCTCTGAGACAAATAATGCAAGATATGTTAAGAAAAAAAAAGAAGAAGAAGAAAGCGGGAGGGGAGGAATGAAGCGGGGGAAATCGGAGGGGTGGACGAACCATGAGAGAAGATGGACTCTGAAAAACAAACTGAGGGTTCTAGAGGGGAGGGGGGTGGGAGGATGGGTTGGCCTGGTGGTGGGTATTGAGGAGGGCACGTTCTGCATGGAGCACTGGGTGTTGTGCACGAACAATGAATCATGGAACACTTCATCTAGAACTAATGATGTAATGTATGGGGATTAACATAAGAATAAAAAAAAAATTTAAAAAAAGGCTATCTTTGAGATGACTGGAGAAATGTGAGTATCATCTGAGTATTAGATATGCTGAAATTTGCTGAAACAAAGTGGTGGATTGCTGCCTGAAGAAAAGCAGGTTACAAAAGGGAACGCACAGTATAAGCTCATTGGAGGGAAATATATGCACAGAAAAGCCTCGGGAAGAACAATCACTAAAGTGGCAGCAACAGCGGCAATCTCTAGATGATGAGAATATAATGGTTTTCTTTTTGCTGTATTTCTAGTTTTCTAAAATGTATAGTACTGCTTCTACAATAATGAAGATTTAAGTAGAAAGGCCCCCAGAGATACTGAGAGGTACACTCACCAGATGCCAGGTACTACCCTTTTTTTTGTTTTGTTTTGGCTTCTCCTCTCCACCCCCTTCTTCCTCCAGCCACCAGCAGAGGAGACAGTCTTCCTTTTTTTTCCTCCAGGCACTATCCTAAGTGTTTTATACACATTACCACATTTTGTTCTCACAGAAAGGCCCCGAGGTATTAGCCCCATTTTAGAATTAAGGAAACCAAAGTTCGCTTTCCAGCCTGGCAGAATGGCTCCCGCAAAGATGGGTGGTGAGAAGATGAAGGGCCATTCTGCCATCAACAACATAATGACCAGAGAACACACCATCAACATTCACAAGAGCATCCACAGAGTGGGTTTCAAGAAGCGTGCCCCTCAGGCACCCAAAGAGATCCAGAAATTTGCCATGAAGGAGATGGGAACTCCAGATGTGCACATTGACACCAGGCTCAACAAAGCTGTCTGGGCCAAGGGAATAAGGAATATTCCACGGTATCCGTGTGCAGTTGTCCAGAAACAGAACAAGGATGAAGTTTCACCAAACAAGCTCCATACCTTGGTTACCCACGTACCTGTCACCACTTTCAAAAGTCTACAGACAGTTAATATGGATGAGAACTAACTGTTGATTGTCAAAGAAAGGTCTAAAACACAAAAGAAAGAAAGAAAGAAAGAAAGAAAGAAAGAAAGAAAGAAAGAAAGAAAGAAAGAAAGAAAGAAAGAGAAAGAAAGAAAGAAAAGAAAGAGGAAGGAAGGAAGAAAGGAAAGAGAGAGAGAAAGAAAGTTAGTTAGTTCAAGGACAGACTCCAGACTGCAAAGATTCACTGTGTGACCCTGAAATGTTACCCTCCCTCTCTGCTTTTCTGCTCGATGAAGGGGTATGACTCTAGATCCAATCATTTAACTAACAGCCCCCAATTCCAGCCCTGTACAGAGCACAGAAGAATCAGAGTTGACTCAGGCCTGTGCTAGAGAGGCTTCCAGTTGAGGGAGGAGATCACCTTGACAATGGAGAGGTACCCCAAACTGCCTGGTGAGGGCACAAAGGAGGAGGTCAGCTCTGCAAGGTGGAGGGAGGCATCGGGCTGCAAGAGAAGCTGTCTGGAAGGCAGGTGTCTGCCAAGGGGCCTGGAAGAGAAAAGAGCCAGGAAACAGGCACAGAGGCAGACAAGAGTGAGGCGTGTAGGCAAGCTGAGTTCCGTCTGCCCCAGTCCCCCTGGTGTGGTGTAGGCTAACACTCAAAAGGTCCTGGTTCCAGGTCTTCTTGGAGAAATGCGTGATTCTAGAGCTGGGTCAGATAAGATGAACCTGGAGCTTCTTGAGCCAGCAAGTAAGGATGTACTCACAGAATGACAGGGACCTTGTGCAGCAGACACAGGATCCAGCATGAAGGGCTCCCACGGGTTCAGGGAGCGACTTGTCAGGGTTGGCCCAAGGCTTTACCAGTTTTTTTTTTTTTTAAAGATTTTATTTATTCATTTGACAGAGAGAGACACAGGGAGAGAGGGAACACAAGCAGGGGGAGTGGGAGAGGGAGAAGCAGGCTTCCCACCAAGCAGGGAGCCCGATGCTGGGCTTGATCCCAGGACCCTGAGATCCTCACCTGAGCCAAAGGCAGACGCTTAACGACTGAGCCACCCAGGCGCCCCCTTTGCCAGTTTTAGCATCGAAAATGCCACATCCTGGGAAACCCCTCAGTCCCAGACAAACTAGGTTGGCTACCTACCACAGGCTAAAGCTGGGACAACCTGTGTATTAAAATAGTGATAACGACAGATTATATTCCATGGAATAAAATAGGAAACCAAAGTATATACAGGTATGAATAGATAAATTAATGTTTGATGAGGAATAGGGTATTTACATAGCTTCAAAGTAACTTCCCATCAAATACTTATTAATTACAAAGGGAAAAATGAGTAACTTCATTGTAGAGAAGCATGGCAGACACCTCCTGAATCAAGTGATCA